CGTTGTTAATTTTTCTCCAATGTCTTTCTTTCAGGATCGTCGTTTAAGGAGGATGATTGGAACTGCGAAGCGGGTTGGTGGGCTCTACTTATTCCAAGAAAAAAACACAAAGAATATACACTCTAACCACTAATTGCAATTTATCTCAATCCACTGAATGTTCTATTATTTTATTACATTGTTGTTTGGGTCATCCTAATTTCCAGTATCTAAAACAATAGTATCTGTTGATGTTTACTAATAAAAATTCTTTCAATTTCAAATGTGAAACTTGACAGTTAACTAAACATCAACGTGTTCCTCATCCACCCCACAATTACACACCTCATGCTCATTTCCCTCTTGTTCACAGTGACTAATGAGCATTCTCTCGCACTCCTAGCAACAACAATAAACGTTGGCTCCTTACTTTGATTGATAACAACACCCAAAGGTTTAATTTTAAAAGTTAAATCAGAAGCTGCTACATAACAACACCCAAAGGTTTAATTTTAAAAGTTAAATCAGAAGCTTCTACAACTTTCAAAAACTTTCACACATTCATTTTGACCCAATTCAAAAAACCTATTCAAATCCTTCAAGCTGACAATGGCAGTGAATTTTTTAACTATATTAGGAGAATGTTTGATAAGGACTTCCTCCATCATAGCTCATGTACCGACACTCCTCAACAAAATGGGGTAGCAGAGAAAAAAACATATCCTAGACATTACTTGCTCCATTATGTTTCACTATAACATTCTAAAACATTTCTGGAATGATGTCATTCTTATCGCAACTTATCTCATCAATAGTGTTCCCTCAAAAATTCAAACCTACCATAACTCTTTAGCCTTTGAGATCGTGTTTTCCTAACAATTGGATCTTTTCCACTTTAGAACTTAAAATTTTTTGGTGCACATCCTTTATTTAGAACACAACCTCAATTTGGAGTAAACTTGATCCAAGTTCCATAAAATGTGTTTTCCTCATATACTCTGCCACTCATAAGGGGTATTCACATAACTCTATAGTTAACTATGAGGAGACATTTCTTCCAATTGCTAAATTAAACATCATTCGGGTCCTCACATCTTTTTGTAGTGAATCTGGATTGGCATTTATTCCAACTTGATGTCAAAAATGTGTTCAAGAATGGCAATCTTACAAAGTATATATGACTTCCTCCAAGCTTTAACTACACAGCCTCCCAAAAGCAAGTATGTAGACTAAAAAAATCCCTCTATGGATTGAAGAAATCACCACGGGCAACGTTCGAGAAATTCACAAAGATGTTGGTAGGTCATGGATTCATTCAGGCTCAATCGGACCACACTCTCTCTTTCCAACATTCCTCCAACGCCCAAGTAGCTATCATTATTGTCTATGTTAATGATATTGTTCTCACAGGTAATGATCTATCAATATTAGAGTCTCTAAATGCATTTTTGCTGTTTTTTTTTTTTTGAAATGGACTTGGAATTTCTTCGGTACTTCTTAGGCATGAAAGTTATTCGGTCATCTCAGGATATTTGTCTATTTTAGCGGAAGTATGTGATTGACCTTTTGACAGAAAACAATCTTATCATGTGCAAACTAGTGGTTGTCTCGATGGATCCCAATGAAAAACTTTTTCATGCTCTCAATGCAGTTCCTGCAATCAAGACTCACTACAAGCGTCTTGTGGGAAAACTCATCTACTTTAGCCATACATGCCCCAACATATGCTATGTAGTTGGGATAGTCAATCAATCCATGCATGATACCCATAAGCATCACCTCCAACTGTCTACCAAATTCTCCATTATCTAAGCACACCCAACTAAGGTTTATTTTTTTCCTGACACAACTCTCATTCTATTGCAGTTTACATAGACGCGGATTTCGCCGGGTTTGTCCTAGATCAACGATCTACCTCTGGGTACTATTCATTTGTGTAAGAAAACTTTCACGTGGAAAAGAAAGAAGCAATATGTCCTTGCTCAAAGAAGTGCTAAAGCCAAATCCTAGTCCATGTCCCTAGTAATTTGTGAAGCTCTCTGGTTAGGTATCATACTCCATGAACTACATATGACAGTCCTCGTTCCCCTACATTTGTTCTGTTATAACAAGGCTGTCATTAGCATTGCTCACAACCTAGTCCAGCATGATTGCACCAAGCATGTTGAGATTGACCTTCACTTCATTAAGGAAAAGCTCAACTTCGAGAAAATTTGTGTTCCGTTTGTGTCATTTAATGACCAACTGGCAGATATTCTCATAAACAACCTTTCTTGACCACTATTTGATGATTTTAAATTCAGATTGAATATGATTGATACATATTTCAATTTGAGGGACAGTATTACAATATTAGAATATTAATATGGAAAATTTTATATTAACTATTTTGATTTGCCTTTATTTATTGTCCTTTTTTCCTTTATTTTGTTTTTATTTATTTCCTTACTAGTTGATCCTGTAGTGGGTATTTATACCCTTTTTTGCATCAAAAAAATTATTATGGTTCTATTCTAACAAATGAAAAAAAAATAATATACATGTCAGTTAAATTTTTAAATAAAATAATATAAATATTTAATGTTATTCAAAAATTCTTACTATATCAATACTATATCAATATCACTTCATATCTATACAACCGCCACAGGAGTACCGTCTAAAAGTTTGTATAAATTAAGGTACTTCAATATCAATATCTGTTTCATATACGTGCACAGGTACATTAATGTTCCCTAATAATACCATCAAGAGGTGAATTATAATAGCCAAAAATGAGCATACGAAAATACTATAAAAATATTACTTCTTAATAATTAATATTTCATTCTCATTTGCATAGCAATTAATATATTGTACAAGATACAATGATAGTTTAAATAGTTGAGCACACAGTTCATTCTTACAATATGAACAAAATTCAATAGAATCATAAATCATGTGTATCTGTTATTATAACAATAACAATAAATGCATTAGATCGAGAAACAAAACATTACTATAATAGAAGAATATAAGTACCCTACTCGATGTTGATTAATTTGTTATTTGGTTTGTCTTGACGTCGATTCTGCTAAATTGAAAACCTAGCACATGATATTTATATTTTCAAACTTTAATTTATTATATATATATATATATATAAAATAATAATAATAATTTATATTAGTTATTAACTTTACGTTATTTAAGTATAAAATTTTCATTATTTTACTGTGTAATTCTGCTTATTTTTCTATTCAATAAATTTATTATTATTATTATTATTATTATTATTATTATTATTATTATTATTATTATTATTATTATCACTTAATAAAAACCCACCCTTACCTCCTTTCGTCGCAAGAGGCTTCCTCGATTACATGCTAGGGCACGGTCGAACACGACAGAAAATATTGCATGATGCTCCTCTTCTTATCTCCGCATGAAGCTTCCCTTCTCGGTGTCTTCCTTAACAGAGCAGTGAACGCCATCCTTCGTTCTGAAGCCAGCTCGGTCTTCTTCGTACAAGTCGTTTGATGTCCTCTCTGTCTTCACACGACACGAGAACTCTAGCTCCAGCTCCCTCCTAGTCGACATTGAGGCTCGACGCAGCAATTTTGTGATCTTTCCTCAGGCACGGCGCATGAGGTCATTGCCCGCTGCTTCGAGTAAGAAGACACTCAATCTTCTCCTTCTTCCTTCCCCTGAGCTTTGATCGCATGCACAAGAGCTCCCACCTCCCACCTCTGGCGTTAATTTATAGGGAGAACTCATTTATTGACTTTCGGTTCCATTGTTTCCTCTTCCCGACTATTTGATTCATCTCCAATTTCTTCGGCTATCCGACCCTCTTGATTCGTATCCCATTTGCTTGACTCCTAGCTTCCACTTCTTCAGTTCTCTCGTTCTCTCTCCCCAGGTTACAGAAACGGGACACTACACGTAGTCCCCAAAAAACCCTCCCCTCTGTTGTCCCGCAGCCCACTGCCCTTCCCCTTTGAGGCCCCTCGTTGCCCCAACCACCTGCTTCACTGTTTTCACGGTCTCAGACCCCCACCTTCATTGTTGCAACCCGCCAATCCTTCCCCTATTGTTGTTCTACCCCTGCCCCATCCCCATCCCCATCCCCATCCCCATCCCCATCCGGCATCACAGTTGCAGCCCCACAAGCCCTCCCACTATTCATATCGTTGTCCAGTCATCCCACGCTTGTTGCTGCCCACAAAACAGGAAACCAAAATTCCTTCCCTGTTACAACCGTTATCTTCCAACCACCACCCAACAATCCTAATCATCTACCAACACGTCCAAACCCCTAACAGCCACTACCACAAGCTTAGATCCGCACTAGTGTGAGTTTTTGCCATATTTTTTATAATTCCCCTTTTAGTATGTGAGTTGTAATCGTTCATTTACTTTTGAGTAATAATAGTTATTTTCCCTATTGTGGTTTAGGTTAACACCGATATCATTATGTTTTACTTCAATATCTTATCTAATTTTTTATATTTAAATAGCCTTTATTACTTCATAATTTGATGTTAACATGTTAACATGTTACTCCTTATTTTGCGCAATTTATTTCTTCTTACTATTTTAAGATGTTCATATTTAACTTTTTAAATATTAATATGTTAAAATGTTAATATATTTTTATTCTTTCATACTTTTTAGTTAATACAATACTTCGCAGAATTTTTTTATTTTGAGACAGACATTTCAAAATGCCTCGACCTCGTCTCACAGACAAAAAACATCAAAACTCAATTGTGCAGTCTAAAACCTTGTGGATGAATATGAAGAAATTCACACAAATGACATTTTAATAATTTTCTAGTGAAAACATGTCGGAAGCATTTGCATTGATTCATATTAAGTGCTGGAAGGAAAGTGGTAGTTACCACACCATATTATAAAAAAGACATACCTAAGTATGTATTAATCGGTTAATTAAGTAAATTGTCAGCTATAACTATATATTAGCTATGGTAATGCTTCATTATTAAGTGTCAAGTGCTACACTTCAAAGAACCAACCTGTTGAAGCATTATTTAACTCAGCAACACTCTTGGAATCTGAGAATTGTTTATCCTCACTAGTACCAGCACCAGCAACAGCACCAGCACCAGCACCCGCACCCTTGCTAGCCCAGTTACAGCGAATCTGTCTGTTACCTAACCATTTACCTGCCCAATGAGTGATAACACAGGCATGAGGAAACACCATATTAAGCCATATACAAATCATGTAATGGATGCCAGTTCTTCGCATATACAGAGCATAAAGAATCTACGTGCACCTCCATTTGAAGTGATACAATGGCAGAAATCAAGAAAATCAAAAAATAAAAACCAACCATATCGATACTGATTTTATACACAGAAAGGGATGTAACAAGTTATCTTTCATGTGAAACTCACCGCTCAAATCATTAATGGCACTTTGTGCATCCTGCAAAGAAACAACAAGACTTATCAACTACAAGCCCAAATACTGAACATCACAAATTCAGATCAATAATCATTGCACCTGTTGATTCCTAAAAGACACAAATCCAAAACCCCTTGAGCGCCCAGTTTTTTGATCCCACATAACCTTTGCATCTCTGCAATAAAATCACATGCCAATACCGTACCATTCAATGGAATGCAAAATACAGACAAAAAGGATGAAAAACATAAACAATATCAGCCGGCTTTAGATCACTGGTGCAACTAAAGATACAAACAGTCTGCACAAAAGAAAAATTCCAGAACTAATAGAAAGGCTCTGCAAAACTTACGAGATGCTGTGATACACAGAGAAGCAGGCAGACAAAGCAGCGTCTGTAACCTCGGAACTAAGATCACCAACAAAGATGTTATAATGACCTTTTGATGGACAAAAAATTTATGGACATGTCACTAACAAGTGTAATCAGACAATGTTCGCTAAAAATCAAAAATTAAGATATAAATATCTAACCTGAAGTGTCTTCTCTCTGTGTATTGGCATATGCCCAATTAACTTTTATAGGTTGGCCAAATCTGCAATTTAAATTTAGAAAGACAAAAGCAATTGGAATACAAACAATGAAAAAAATAAAATAAAATGCAATTTTTTACTTACAGATGCCTTCCATTAAGTGTAACTATGGCAAGTGCAGCTGATCGCCGATCAAAGTAATCAACAAAACCATAAGATGACTGCCAAGAGAAAAAAAACCATAAGGATGTCACATATAACAACAAAATGAATAGTTTGATTTGTGGAGATAGAATAGTTCTGCAGCTTTGATCCACTAAACTAGGAAGAATTTTGTTTAGTGAAAATGAATGAGATAGCCTATTTCATATTTCACCCTAAATACAAACTTCCATAGCTTTACATCCTGATAAAAAAAATCAATCATAATATCAAGCAATGACAGCATACAAATAACCTACTAGCGCCAAAAATTAAGAAAAACATACTCAACAAAGTATTGAAAGAATGTTCGATTCTGTGGTTATAATATCTTCTTAGTTCTTCAAAACTATGCAAACCAGAAATGGTCAGCATAGATGCAACCATTGTCCGTGTGTATAAATATTTTAGACAAACAAGCAACACAAAAGTTAAAGCGCATGAGATTATGGAGTTTAATCCCACATAGGATTATTAAAAATAAGTAAATACATCTCGAAATACTTAAGAATAGTCAATTAAAAGGTTGTTCTTATATTCTATAATCAACATACAAAGACTTGAAAATATCAAATGGGTAAAAGCTGAATGCAAATATGATCAATGGAAGTTTTGATGTTAACAAATCTCGAGTAAAATCTACGAACTAAGAAACCAAAGAACAAAAACTTAGATTTTAATTTAAAGGCTAGAAGATTCAATGATAGTCCTACCACCAGATAAAAAAGTCATCAAAAAGTAATCGAGGATAATTTAACAATAAGAGTACAAAATCATAGTTAAAGAAGTCGGAATCATAAATTGCATGGTAAAAATGGTATCCTCAGTAGTATCAAAGAACAAAGCGCATTGCGATGTGCAAGGCTTTATTTTTGCTTCAAAGCATAAAGTATAGAGCGAAGCGGAGTTTTTAATAACCAAAGCACTAATAGGTTGTATAATACTATTAATGTATAAATGCATTCATAAGCAATTATAAAACATAAAATGACTTAAAAAGTTCATATAAATGAAAAAAAATGTTATGCAATACATAACTTGAAGATAAAAATTAAAAGTGAACCTGCAAATTAAAATTTAAAAATTATTTTTAATAGTTTATTGCAATAATAAAAAACTAAAACATTATAAAAAAATCTTATAACTCAACAAAGTATAAATTTTAAAGCATAAATAAGTTAATAAAGTCATATATCATAAAATATACTAAAATAATTCATTAGTCTTCATCTCTTTCATTCACAAAATTCTTTTCTCAAGATAGAATTTTTTCAACTTCAAATTTTTCTTCTTCCTCATCATCTTCCTCTTCTTATGAATAAATTTCAACTTCTCTTTCTAGCAAAGAAGAATCGGATACATGTTTAGGCGAACTAATCATCACTATAGATGATCCCTTTTTTTGGTCCAACTAAATCTTATAGACCATCTTCGATCAACTTCTCCTGAAGCCTCTTCAATTTGTCTCTAATTAAGATCTTAATCACCAAATTATTGCTCACCAACATCCTCCACTTCTCCAATCAACCACTCACAACTTTCATCAAATGAATTCAAACAAATCAAATCAATCATATCTCTTGAATTGAATATTCTCTTTAAAACTTAATTATATTTGATGAAGGATAAATCATTTAAGCACTTTTGATCTAGGAGATTTCTCTTTTTTGCATAAATCTGTAAAAAAAAAAATAGTAAAATTAATGCATAAAGCATGTAAGTCATTTAATGTTTAAAATTTATAAATTATCAACCTACTCAAAGCAGCTCCAATTTCTTTCACAGTCAACTGTGAATAGCAACATAAATGTTGCTTGTTTGGTGGTTTGTTATGAGAATTTCAGAATTTGGCTACGAGAATCTTTGAATTTGTGAATTCGGGAATTTGAGAATTTTTTTTGTTATTTTTTCAACTTTGTATATCTCTTTTTTTATGTAAAATTCTGCACTGGATTTTTGCTTCTGAAGTATAAAATATATTTGTATGACAATTTTATTGCAAACAACATTACTACACAATGACAGAAAAGTCATTTGTCCAAAAATAACTGCAGCACAACTGTTTTCAAACTACAAAATATAAACAAATAGTCAGCTTATCTACAGGATCTTCCTATGACAGCTGTTACGCAACAGTTTATTATTAAGTTGCAAGTGCCCCCAAACAGACCCTAATAGTTCAAAGAGTCTCACCGTAAAATTTGAATAATCAAATGCATATATAGATTCTAAGAAAATAAAGCCTAAAAGTTAATTAACCAAAAAATTAATTATAGATCATTCTCTATGATCAATCCATCCACCAAACATGATAGTGCGTCCCTTTTATTCCTAATTTTTTTAATGATCTTCCAAATCATTCATAGGCTACTGTAATTCTCTTTCAAGTAAAGAAATACTTCACTCATGATAAGATAGTGGTCGAAAACCTGGTCCATAATTTTCAATTGTCTCAACCATATGATCAAAACTCTCCAACTTCACTGTATTGAAAGGGATTTTGCGTGATAAATGCACCTAATAGTATTTTATAGTTCTTTCTTTGATACTTTTATCCACATCTTCTCTAATTCCTCTCATTTGTATCTTTTCATTAAGCAACCTCTCTTTCAGATTTCATATATAAAAAAATTATGCATTGAACTTATCATTTTAGATATGTTATTACTCTATAATCCAAAAATTAATTCAAATGCCCTTTTTTCACAGTGTAAGGGCGACTGAATATCTATTTCTTCAATTATATCAACCAGTGCGACTGAATATCTATTTCTTCAATTATATCAACCACTTTCTCATTATCTTTCATATAAATCATGTTTGGATTTCGATACTCCTTGATAAGCAAGCATCTCACTCTTCCATCCGAAGGCACTTTCTTACACTTAACAATGTTATCTCTTTTTGATGTATTAGAAGGACCAATCAAATGCTCCTCGAGTCGAGATATAACCTCATTTATCACTTTACCACAATAAATACAAATATTACAAAGTGCTCGATTCGTATTTAACTTTATGAAGTGCTCACTCACACG